GGTTTGAAGATGTGTATAACCTTTTATCTGAGGGTGACTTTGTGTAATGGCATCATCTTTATTTGAAAGGGAAATGTGCTAGGTTGTAGATGTTGTGTTTGAGGTGGTGTTGTTTGAGGTAGTGTTTAAAATGTCTTGCTATAAAGTATATTGAGTTCACACACACATACATATGTCCACTCAACTTTTTCATTCATACTCTGGTGGCCACCGTTTCATTCTCTCCTCACACATGCATTCTTAAACCCTTTATTGTGTTTGAATCATGGAGTTTTGGTTTTGCATTAGTTACTGTTTGTGTGTTTTCTTTTGGTTCTGTTGTATCATTTATTGCTTCTTTGTGATTGTTCCTGTTTTGAAGAAGTGTTAATGTAGATTTACACATATAGGGACCAGATCCATATCTCTTTCCCCCCCTTTTTTTGTGTTTTTAGAGTACGTTTCTTAATGTGTGGTGTGTTCCTTTTACTATTATTGGTTGTGTTTCTTTAAATCTAATTTCTTTACTCATTTTTTTCGGTGATTGCTTCTGTTGAAGGGGAGGGCTAATATAAGGCCTGATATATCCAGAAGGAATCCCCCACAATTTAGCACTCCTTGATACACAGGCATATATCTCCCCTCAAGTTATGAAATCTACTGGTCTTGATCATTGCCTAGATATTAGATCTTTAATCATAACTGGTGTTTTGGAAGGTGAAAGTATTTTAGTTTTATGTTGGTATTCATACCTGCTATGGTTTGTATCATCACAGTTTAAGAAATTTAGAACATATGATGTTTTCTATAAGTGTTCCTGGGGGTTACACACTGACCACTTCTCCCTTGCCCTGAAGCATTCCTTGTGTGTTGCCGCACCACTCTACCTGGAGAGTGTGTGAATGGATGTGTCTTATGTAAGAGTTAGATTTTGTGTGATTAACAAGGAATTATGTGGTGTGCACTTTTCCAGGCAAAGGAGGGTTAGTGAAATCTTGAAGAAAGGAGGCTTCAAGATGTGAAAGTAACTCTGTAGCATAGCATGAATCAATTATAACATTCATAGCTTAATTACAAAACAAATGTGCTAAGTACATGAGTAAGTTGTAACACTTGTATAGAACCTGGTCCAAGGTTTGTACCTTATTGTTCAATTGTCCTTCTTTGTTTGTCCGGATGCAGGTGGTCTCAGTGCCTTGTTCATTTCTTGTAGTTGTTCTTTATCCTTAAAAACAATCTTGGCAAACATGTTAATAACAGTTCAGTCTATTTCAGATGAAAGGTGGGCAGGAATAGATGTGAGGTTCAGGTGAATCTGTAGTTTTTGAAGTAATAGCGGTGAGTCACTCTATGTTATAGTGTCTTTTCCTTTTTGGCTGAAGGCTTTAAAGATAATCTTTCGTTGTGGAGATTTCATTGTTGGTCCTGTTAAATTTTTCTGGAACGTTTTACAGTCTCCATTTCTTAATAATATCAGTTAGAACAACTGTAACCAGGTTTAATTCAGTCTCTTAGGTAGCTGCGATTTACAAGCAGCTATTTTGCACTCTTGTTGACATTATGTATGTTGTTTTGTGACAGCAAAATGTTTTGAGAATGTTTGAATGTAACAAATATGGGGATGTTTAAGATTCTATACTTATTATTTGAATAACATTATAGTGATAATTGCATGTCTGTGGATGTATTTGAGAATTTAATAACTTCTAATAACTTTTATTTTTAAAGCTATTGGGAAATGAATGAAAAATAGGGAAAATTTTTGAAGCTGTAGTGTTCTGGTTTTGTGGAGATAAACTTAAATGTTCTTGGTTAAAATGACACTAATTTACATAGTGAAAAATAATTACAAAGGCTTTCAGGCAATAAGGAGAATTTTTCTCTTTTTTTTATACTATGAAGCAGAAGGTTTCAAATCCTTTTCTGCCGCGGTCTGAAAGGGGAGGATAGGACCATGGCACAGCACAGGTCCGGGACACGAGGGAGGGATGCAGATAGAGGGTTTATTCCAGCACGCACGCAGTTTTTATCACCTCCAGAGGGAAAGAGCCAGAATATAGGGCGGAGCAGGAGACAGACAGGCAGGGGGGACAAACCAGGATAGGGGCACAGGTGAAAGAGGGAGGAATGTGGGAGGAACCGGGAAGAGAAGGGGCCAACGGAGGCTGTCTCCTCCCTGCAGCCTCTCCAGCCAATCCGCAGGAAAGAAGGGAAGCGGACAAGCCTGAACATGCCTGGGAAATACAAATTCTGGGGAAGCATACAATGTGTATATACATAATAACTGTAAAGTCTTGTGATAAACTGAGAAAATAATTCGAGCTGATTAAGAGGAAACAGTGTAAGCTCAATATGACCTGGAGAGAAAAGAAAAACAAGTCGTAAAACTTAATTGGGCCCCTATAAAGAGATAAAACAAGTTACCTCCCTTTTACCTTGTGTAGGATTTATAGTGAGACAATTTTGTTTAGTTAGATAGATAATAGGACCTTTCTTGAAATTTATAACTTTGTATAGATAGCAAGCATCTGCTGAATGTCTGATTTGACAATATATTATGGATGCTTATAGATAACATTCTTGTTAAGAAAGCATCTGTTGAATATCTGACTTAACAATGTGTAATGTTTATGCTTAGGTATAATGAATATGCATGAAGTAGCGGGAATAAATGTAGAACAACTGTACTTTTTGGGTGTGACAGGCGTTGGGAGTTGTTGAACCCCTTCCCTGATCACCCAGCGCTGAATTTGCTTTTATCATATAATAAAATTCTGATTGGAAATTGCCCGATTGGGTTTCTATTTCTCACAGTCTGTATCATAAAGTCCTTTCAATGACTGTACATCTTTTTCCACTTCTGAAATTTTCCCCATTCTGATTCCTGGTCCTTCACACTTTTCTTTACCTTGAGTTCAGTAATTGATTGGTAATCAGCATACAATTTATGCTGAAACAGCCTGTATGTGAATTTATTTAGTTCAAATTTAGCTCCCTAGTAAATTGTTTATATTGCTCCAGTTTTTGTAATATGTGTAGCAATTTTGTTTGCTGATTGATAAAAGGTTTATCTTGCATACTTTATCATAGCTAGAAGAACATGAAATTGCTAAACTTAATAAAAGTTTGGCATCAGTCAGTTTTATATTTAAAAAATATGAATTAATGAATATACTGGGCTTTAAGATGGTGAGATGTTAAATTTCATGTGTAAATATTTTTAAACTACCCTCTACCCTTTATTTCCATTGTCAAGAAAACAATTTACACCACTTTTAAGAAAACTGATTTGAAGGAAAAAACTACAAATGTTACAAGCAAAACTTATATCTTCTTGACAATGCAAAATGCAGTGGTATGAGTGAATAGTTAGCAAAGTTTTAGTTCGCCATGTCCTGCCTTCGTTTTCCACATTATGTAAAAAAGGAGATTCTGAGTGAGAGATAAGAGGGGCTTGCTTGTTGTCTTCCTCACCCAAAGGCAAGTCACTTATTTGTTTAGCCAAGGAGTTAGTAGGAAAGTTTTTATAGGAACAGGAATAGCGGTAGAAAATGACAAAATCTAATTCCACCCAATTGTTTAACAGTAAACTACTGTTATTATGTTTAAGAAGCAACACATTATTTCCTTTTTTGCAAAGGCAATCATGCAAGAAGTGTTTTTTACGCTTTTCTTTAACTAAAAAATAAGTTATAAAATCTCAGTTTCAAAAACTTCATTCTTTTCCAACTCTGAGATAGGGGCAAAAAGCATGAAAACCCATCTTTCTTTAGGTTTGAGAGATTGATAGATTAGTGAAAGGATTTTTGTACATAGTGAGGCTGTATATGGTTTTCTAATAGCGTATGTAAATGCATCACCTCTGTTTTAAAGAAAGGCCATTGTTTTATTGATTTAGGGTTACCTGTTTCTTGGGTCACTTGTGGGTTCAGCTGCAATAAAGCTGCCTTTGGGAAAAATCTGCTGTTAATTGACTTCCTCTTTGACAGAGACAGTCTCTGTTCTACAGAATGAGTGATTTCAGTGGGTCCAATGGAAACAGAGTTAATGTTTGGGTTATTGTTGGTTATAATGTCTGTGTTTTGCTTTGGGGATGCTAGTTTAAGAAAACTTGTTAAATAGGTTTGGATGTTTTTTAAGGACCATTGTGAGGTTATATCTGTTCTGCTGCTAAATATGTTTGATATTCCTGTCTTTGCCTCCCATTCTAATTGTTTAATTTGGGTATAGGCCAGTTTATGCATGTTTGTGTTTTGAGTGGATTTAGAGGTGTGTATTGTTGTATGTTGCAACTTTGTGGAGCATCTTTGGGCTTGTGTTGTATGAGGGTTTTGTTTGTTTTGCTTTCTCAAGGCTCTTACAGTGACTGTGTATAAAGAATTCTGTGTTTCTGTAGTTGAAATTGTAACTGGTTGGTTCTTTGCTACTAGTTTAGGTTTGACTTCCCATGTTGTGTATGGCATATTGTCTAACAGCATTTTAAAATAGTGAGAAGTAAATACTTGATTTGAGGCTCCTCTTATTATTCTTACCCCCTGTAACACAAAAGAACTTTTTATAATAGCAGATAATCTGTCAATTAGTAAAGTTGTCCTTTAGTGACTTAGAAAATTAAACATGGTAGCTGACAGCTGTATGTCTGTTACCTCTAAATTGTTGGTTCTGTCAGTAGGTGGATGGTGTTGTCCTGAAATAGAGAATGAAATAAAATATTAGATATTTAGCTATGAAGGTGTGACTTTGCAAAATGTAAAACTGCTTAAAAGTCTCTGACCGAACTGTGGGCAATTGAGATAAAAAGCTTAGAGAATGGGGAAGGCTTTTTAGCACGTAGAGAGGGGTGGGGAACCTGACACTGCTTGAAGTGAGGAACCTGACACTGCTTGAAGTGATAAAACTTTACGTAAATACTCTATAATGGTAAGAATAGGAGGTAAAACTAAGTGTCTATTTAGATAAAACAAACTGCAAAGGAGTGTATGCGTATTAACCTGTAACTGTTTGAAGTGATAAAACTTTACGTAACTACTCCATAATGGTAAGAATAGGAGGTAAAACTAGATGTCTATTTAGATAAGAAAGACTGCAAAAAGTGTGTGTGTAAAGATAATTTTGAGCTTGCTACTTTCAAACTGTATAAAAGGCTATGTTATTCCTTGGTTCGGCGGAGTGCACTGGGGAGAACACCTGCCCCTTTGCATTCCCCGGCCGTAATAAAGGTGCTTTTCAGATTGGCAGAGATTTCTTTGAATCAGTCCCAGCTGAAATTTTTGCAGTACAAAACTGACAGCTGTCATTGCCAGCAACGCAGTCAGTACACTTGCAGTCCACTTCAGCGTTGGTAGCTTTGACTTTGCTGATGGTCTGGGCTTGGGTAGGCAGATGTTCTGTGTGCTTTCCCAGTCTGCATTCTCCTCCTCGAGCTTAAGTAGTAGCTGTAGCCACGTTTGCTGTTCTTCCTCTTTTGCAGGATCCAAAACTGCTAGTCTTTTTTCTGGTTCTGTTGTCTTGCTGAGTTCAGTTTGCCACAGCTCGGCTAAGATTTCTTGGGCGTTAAATTCTCTTCTTCCTCCTCCATCAGGCCATCTTCGGCGTAGAAGCTGTTCTGAGGCTGGCGAGGGCTGTGGGTTGGTTTCTTGATAGGAGATCCACGGTGGTGCTTTAACGGTTGTGAATTTGTTGTGTGTTGGTTGAACTGGTGGTAACGGAAGAGGCACTCTCACTTCTGCTTCACTGCTGGAGTAAGTTGGCTGTGTCCATGTTGCTGCGTGGTTGTTCTGCAGTGGTCTCATGGCCGCTGCACAGCCAAAGGGTGTTAGTGGACCGCCCTGACCCCCGCAACAGCAGTCTGTTCGTTGCAGCCCCCGCTGCTGCTGGTGCCTTAGCCCCGAGCTCCAGCCGCCCGGCCACGTCCCCGCACTCTCTCTGTGGTGGTCTCATGGCCGCCGCATAGCTAAAGGCAGCTAGCAAATTCTCTTGACCCTTGCGATAGCAGCTTGCCTGTTGCCCCCTGGCTGCAGCCCCCACAGCGCTGGCGGTCTGTACCCCCGCCAGCGTTCCGCTCTGCCGCAGCGCAGCCGCTGCCACACCACCTGACCCGGCCACCACCCCAGCCCCCCCGGCCACCGTTCTGCCTGGCCTGGCGTATGGTGCGGGGGGCGCAGCTGTAAGCTGCAAGACATGAAGCTGGCAGCCCCCCACGCCGCCACCGCCCAGGCCCCAGGTTGTCCCGGCGGTGCCGCAAAAACGGTGGCTCTGGGTGCCTGCGGTGCAGGGGCCACTACAACTGGGGCGGGCGGCCTCTCAACGAAACTACCTGCCAGCCACGCTGCCGGCCTGGGTGGCGGGCAGTCCAGGCAAAGCCCCAGTCGCCGACCCCGCGCTGTCGGCTGGGGGGCTGGGGGCAAAAAGGTCTGCTGTCCTGGCTGGTTTTGCTTCTTTGTAATGTAAGTTCAAGGCAGTCATAACCGCTTTCCATGCTGCTAAGTCTTTGATAGCTTCTATATCACATTCACTTGTTTTTTTTCAATTAACTTGCTTCCTATTTTCCTCCAAGATAACACTTGGTGAATGCCAGTTAAAGGTAGAGCTGGTTCATTTATGGAAATCCAATACAGTAAGTCCCAAAGTCTATTTTTCTCCTATATTTCTGTTCTGTTCTTTTAAAAAATGGATTACAGCTTCAGCTGTCTTTTTAATTTCTGAGGAAATTCCTTCCTGACAGGTAATCCACCCTCCCATTTTGCCAGTTTTTGGTTACCTCTGAGTGCAGAAGCTCTGTTGTCCTTTCTTCCGGTCCTTTTTTCTTCCTTTTTTGTCCCTTTTTGCAGAGGTAATCCAGCCCGCTGTATTCTTCCTTTTTTTCCTTTTTGATCCTGGTGAGATGGACACCTCTGGACAGGTTCTCCAGAGCTTGCTGCTCCTGGTTCCTGGTAACCTGCTGTAGTCCCGATAAGGCGTTGTTGAGGCATGGACCCCGCTCAGACACGAGTACCAGAGCAGAATTAAGGTTTATTTCAAAATGCTTAGGTTTAAATACAGCGCTTAAACATGTCACATGATCTTTCAACCAATGACAATCAAGTATTGATTGAGCATGCGTGAGAACCCAGAAAACTACAACTCCCATGATTCTTTGTCACATTCTTCCTACCACAAAAAGGTCTACTTTTTGTACAAATTTTTACAGATCTCATCTTTCTTCCTTTTTGTTGCAGCTCTTTTAATAATCCTAAGACCTAACTACTGAAAACTAGTTGTCTTCTTCTCAACAATGTGCTAAGGAACTGTGGACAGTTGTGTCCACATCAGAGAAAGTGTCTCTTTCTCTGATGCTGCTTTTAGACTACCTGAAACAGACCCAGTACCCACAAACTGTGTGTGCAAAAGTAGATTTAACAATGATGATGGTTATGGTTGTCATAAAACTTGATACCTGATGTGCTTCTTTAAATTCCACTGGGTATTCCATTAGAGCATAAATGTATTTGAAAGTCTGCCCTTAAGTCTGTGTATATCAGCTCAAGCTTTTTTTAAGTTGGAAGAGCCTGAACATAAAGATCAATTTAAAAATGAAATATTGTTTGTCGTCTGTTATCTAAGTTGTATCATAAAAATTGCTAGTATTGTTGTTACATTCTATTCATGATACACAATGGTGTGTACTTAAAGATTGTTTAATGTCTGTGTTTGTCTATACTGTGTTAACAGAAGTATTCTTTGTACTCATCAGAGTTTCACATCAGAAGCATCCTCACTGGGAGCCTTACTAGGCCATTAAAAATCTGATACTGAGTGCAGAGTTTTAGTATAAGCTACTTAACCTTATTTGAGACATGCTTATTTTAAGAATTGACTTATAATTATTTTATGGATGCCTGATAAAGGATAAAGCTGTTTGATAATTTTTAGTGAACAGAAATTTACTTATCAAAGGTTACAGGGTGGTTGGTGAGCAATCTATATTACATTTTTAAGGTGGAGTGGAATTCTTGCAAAACTGTTTTCCATTTTCTGCCTTTTGTTTGGACTCAAAATTGTGACTACTCTAGAACCTACAAAACACCTCACTTGAAGGGTCTATCACTGCTGTGTCCTCTCAGTTTTCAGAGTCCTGCTATTTCCAAACTCTGACTGCATTAATTTTTTTTCTGGCAAATAAACCTACTGTTCACTAAATGACTCCATACTGTTATTCTTTTCAGGAATAATTTTCTCTAGTGACTTGCATAGATTATAATCTGTTTGGTTTGCTTAATTGACTGAATTGCTTCAGCTGATCTTTTTTTCCTAAGTAATATTGTTTTCAAACCTTACATATGAAAATAACTGCTTTTGCTATTTTCCTGATGGTGGAACTGTGTGTTTATAAGTTTTAAGGATGATGAGGGAAAGTTACGAGGAAAATAGAACTATGTTGGCAAAATGGCAAATTGTAAAGATATCCTGGAATCAACATAGAGAAATAAGCTAAAATCATGGCAGTGGTAGTGGTTTAATGGGAGAGGATTTGCATGGTGATAGTGAACATCATACTAAGCTTGTTACCAACATCTTTGGGGGAAAAATCCTAAAATTTTCAGGAATGGGTGAACACATAGTTATATAGACCAATGTAAGGACCCCTCAGCTTTACTCAACACTCATAAAAATTTGTTTAGAAAGCTGCTTCCAGATTTGGGGAAGGTTATGCCTTTTAATTTTGCAATGTCATTTAACTATAACAGCCATAGTCAACTTTAGGTGCCACGTCAGAGCTATAGTTTTTTCTGTTCCTTAGGTGTATTTTGTCTATCTAGAACAGAATTCGTTTTCTCTTGCGCAGGATGATTGCTTCCTTCATCTTTGTAAAAGTACTATAACCAAGTTTCTTTATTTCTGGGTGATTTCCACTTTGATAACATCTAGTGTTGTGTTCAGTTTTTTCCTTTTTATTTTTGGCCACTCATCTCAAGAAGCACTACATTCTTTCACCTGTATGTTTGTGTTTTATATATGTTTTTTTCCAACACTGAGCAGTCCAGTTTATGTCTGCTTCTTTATCTCCAGTACTAATCTATTTTAGAACCTTCAGCTTACCCAGTTCTCAAAAATCTATCCTGTTTTCAAATCTGTTCTGGGTTTTTTCTATCCCAGATACCTTTCATTTATCAGCTGTGTAATCTGAGCCTGTAAATTTTTCCTGTTGAAGGCTTAATTATTTGGCCTTTATATTCAAACTTCCTTTGAATAACTTCCTAGTTATTCAATCCTAGGCTCAAGTATTCTGTCTTTAGAATTAAATTTTCAGTATAAATTTTTCTCACTTTCCTACAGTTCCTTGATATTTAGCCAGTATTCTGCATGTGAAACTATATATACAATCTCTTTCCTAACATGCAGTTTATAGTTCATAAGGACTACAGTTCTGAATCATTTGCTTCCTCTTCTGCAAGTTCTTATTTGCTGTTCTAACTCCTGGCTTTTAATTGAAAGAATAAAAATTCATTGTGCGTCTCTTAGTTGGCTTGTGGTATGCATTCTAAAATCAGAAGCAGTGAGACATTAGCTACCGTTGAAGGAAATGATAAATGCATTTCCCTATATCAGTTTAAAAAATTGAGGACTTGGCTAAAAGAGTGGCTTTCTGCTCAAGTGGAACATGAAAATAAAAAAAGAGTTATTTGATAGACATGGCCCACCATTTCTGACTTAATTTTCTTCCTCCCAGTTCCATGCATGGAGTGTAAATGGGAGATTATTCAGTGGTGTTCTTTAGAAAGTCCATATTTTACACAAAGAGCTCTTTTAATGTTTACAGCACTTCACAAATCACATGCTTATTCACAAATCCCTTTATTTATGGACTATGCAACTCAATTGACCTATGATGATGCTGATAAACCCTAATTCCTTATTTCCTCTGATTAAGCTTGGATGATGTAAACATCTGCTGACGCATTCAGTGACCTGAAATAATTGGCCTGACTCCCAGAAAGTCCCATAAAACCCTTCCTGTAATAGTTTTATATCCTGTGCTTTTACTGGAATAGGAATCACGAAAAGAGTTCGGAAATACTCAATTCATATGTGCAAAACCATAAGGGTTTCCCATATTGACATCACCACTCATTCTTTCAAAGTACAACTCCACGTATAAAATGTCAGTATTATTTTATAACCAAGTCTCAGGGTGCTATTTTAAGCAGAAGCTCAAAAGTCAGCTTATACAGAAAAAAATGAAGTACTTTTTAATGTTACAGTGTGTTCTTTGCATTAGTTCTTCGTATCCCCTCTTGGCTAGTATTCAGAGCCAAATGCTGTTAGACAATACAAGCTTTCAGACAGATAGCTGTATTCTGCATTTAAAGATGCTGACTGGGGGAGGCTCTTACGTACTGTTGTTAGAGTTCTAATACACTAGCTTTGTGCACTTCATCCTACCTTAATACATAAATGAATGGGAATTTGGTATGATATTTTTCTCATTTCCCACACTTGCAATGCTCATTTATGCCCAGTTGCTTGGTCCAATGTATGGTAGAGAAAGGATGCAGGATACCGTTCTTTTCTTTGGTAGCTATTCTTTATCTCCTCAGTAACTACTGAAACCACTGACTAACTTCTATCAGTTGAAAAGGAGAATGAGCTCATAGGCACAGCAGCTGTGCCTGGAGGAAGGACACTCTCCAAGTTCCCTTACTGAAAAGCTGATGGAATTGCAATGGATGATTTTCATCAGACTTTTTGATACCAAGAAGCACTGTTGGCCCATGTTTGTCAGCTGACAAATCAGACAAAAAAAATGCTCTCTCTTGCCCTGTCAAAAAGTTGGATGTTTTGGGGAAAAGGGAAGCAAACAGTAAGGAATATATTAGGTACTCACAAGTATTGTGGTAACTGAGTTACAGAGAAAAGCAAAGTTCTGTGTTTAAGAAGAGTATTTTAAGGAAGGTGGAATTTTAATTATAGGAAGCTGTAAATTAAACTAGCTTCATAAACTGAAACATAAAAATATTTTATTATTAAATATTGGAACGTTTGGGGTTCTGTATTAAAATGAACAATCTGTAACTACCTAGCTCTAAGTAGCAGGCCTTTCATTTTTGGATTCTGAAACACTTCAGAATAAGGATGGTATTTACTTCATGTAAGATGCCTTTCATGTCTATATTGATAATCATAGGAACAAAAAAAATGAAAAAAAGCTTGAAACTTTGAAAACCTTATCTTGAATGTTTGGTTGAATGTTTGGCTATGTGGACAAAGAGATGGACAGCTTAGATATTGGTGAACTGATTATAACATTAA